AAATGGTCCATAGTAACTGGTATTTATGCATCGTTTGATATCAAAAGAATAGGTGCACAAATTATAGTGAGTTTTAATCTAAAATCATAGTATAAAACATTCAGAATGGGTATGTGTTACTTCTTTATTTATATCATTTGATTTTTTTTGTTCTTCCTTTTTTCTCTTTTTTAATTCTTCAACCTTTTTTTTCCGTTTTTTTGAACTCTATGTGTTTAAATGGATTCGTGAATACATCAATATAATAAGCATTGACTTTCTTTTCAAAGATCAAATCACAATGCCAAATTTCACAGAAGGCTTCTTTCGAATAATGAAAATTCTGAGCGGCTAAGTTTAGATCTATAACTTTGCTTTGTATATTCAAATGTATACTAAAATGATCAATTGGCAAAGTAATACCAGCGAGTTTACTAGATAATGTTACTATATCTCTTTCAACTAGATTATACTTTAACTGATCTGAGGCATGTGTTCATATGCTTAAAAAATCTAAATTGAACTTCTTGAAAAGCTGACAATAAGCTTTGATATTTTTTAAATGTCTAGGATTCTCATCTGGTCTTCCGTTTACCAATAAAATCCAAATTGGTCAAACTGTTCCGTTTTATTTTCAGCACATCATCATATTGAGAATTTGAAGTAAGGGTTTTCAGATCTTGCATATGTATAAGCAAAGATGTGCCAAGAGACAATTGGAAATGTATAAAAATTGCCAACTTTCCTGTTTACAATTCATCATTAGATTCGTTTAGATTTATCATTAAATATACTGACAGGATTAATTTTTGTCCAAATTCAATAAGAAAATCATAGTCTGCTATAGTCGTAAGTTTATTAATAGATTGTAATATGCAAAATATACGATCTACCGCAGGTATTTCAAGTCAGATTTTTGCTTTGTTATCTTGAGAGATAATAACTGACATATCAGCAAAAGTACTAGCGAATTGCTTTGCATACTTTATTGATGTGAGATAATAATGGCTGTTAGAATATTTACGCATCTCAGTACATGAAACTCTGAAGACTGCAACCCATACCAGGTGGTGATGCACTTTTGCGGTAATTGAGTTTGATTGGTGAGATAAAAGGTAATTATTTAATGTAGTTCTCGCTATATAAACTTTATATCTTTCCTCAAGATTTTTACGCAGATTTTCTACTATCTGAACTTTAACAGTTTTTTTTCATCATTTTGCATCAGCTGATTCAAATTTCACGTAATTGTATACGTGTTCATGTAGATCTAGATATTTGAAGAGAAATAGTGTCTTTTCAGGTTTATCATAGCAGACAACCTCATGATTTTTGATAAGTTGTCTTAATTTTTTTTCCTTACAATTTTGAGTATATTTAGCATTTCTTTTTAACTTGGCAATTCTATTTTTATTAGATTTAACTTCATCTCACAAGTTTTCTATTTTTTGGTACATGTCATTATGAATCTGAGCATCACTAGTAATATTATAAATCTGCTCATATTTGTAAATATTTTTTTAGCAATTTGAATTGCATCTGTTATCCTTTTTTGAGCTAAAGCATTAGCAGGAATTTCTAGTAAAAGGTTCACTAAATAAATGATGGAAGGGGAGGAAGGATTCAATTTTTCTCTAAGTATAGAACATTTATATCTCATTAATTGTATGTCGTATAGGTTAAGTGGTGTGATTATATAATTCTGAATTATACTATCAATATTATTAATACTGATACTATATGAAGTTAATTCTACTGTGTCACAAAGATTGATGAATGATCAACGTTATTAACATCATTAGTATTTTTAACTTAGTTAACATTTTTATTTTATTCTTATATTTTATTATTATTATTTAGTATATTAGTATTATCATTAAATTATAATTTATCTTTTATATTTATCTTATCATTATAAAATAGTTTAGCATTAGATAGTAAATTTTTATAATTGTATTTTTGTATAAATAGGATAGAAATTTGTCCTTGCAAAAAGGCAGAGATAACAGTGTAAACTCAATAGTTTAAGTTTAAGATTTAGAATCCAAGGTTAAGGATTGCTAAGGATACAAATCTTTTCAATAAAGGAATCTCTTTCTAAACTATACATATTAAAAATTCTTTAATGTGTCAATTGTGTTTATCATGTTTACAAATTGTTAAAGTTATTTACTCGTCTAAAAGTATAAACCTAAGGTTGATTGTAATAGGACTTATTCCACAGTAACTTAGTAGTTTCTCGCACATTATTCCCTGTTATTAAGTCATAGTTACCCTAAGTTTGACAGTTGAGCATAGGGTTAACATCGTGAACAACACTAACAGCTCATACAGGAAGCTAGTATCATTGCAGAAGCTCAGATGTTAGAGGAGAAAGTTGTTAGTGATAATCCATTTGCGCTACTAAATGACTACGCCAATTAACGTTACCAATGATCACTAGAAAAATTGTGATCACTATTTTCACCAATTTCACTGCTATCACGGTTATCGTTGTGATATTCATTTTCATTATTATTATATTTATTATTATTTTATTTACTATCTTTATTATCATAGTTATATTTATTTTCACTATTATATTTATTATCTCTTTATTATAATTATATTTTATATAAATATCCTGTATTGTCGTCTTGATAAAATAACAAGTTTCAATCATGCAATTAATAAAATATAATCTTAACAATATAAAAACTATATCTTTGTTAATATCTATTTCCTTAAAACATAAATTATCAATAAAGACGACCTGACCCTTCAACTTAAATAAATTTATGTTTATTTCTTTCATAGTTTACAACTTAAACTCCCTGTTAGTAAATAAGTTTTGTTATCCTAACGACATAGTGTTTAGGCTTAACAACGTTTTCTTTTTGAAATCACAGACTTAAAAGTTAAAACTAAAGCATTTTCTTTATTTAAATCTTCCTGATTATATTCTAACTTATTACTAAGAATATTTATTTTATTATGTTATAATATAATATAAATAGATAAGAGGAAATTTTCGTGTTATTATTTTATTTGTAAAAATAAATTTAGATCATATGTTATATCATATACGTTACGTGCAATAAGATAGCTAAATTAATTTTACTGCTTGAAGTGATACAGAAACTTTTTCTAAAAAAAAAATTTATTTTTAAAAATTTAATTTTTTTAAAAAATATTTAATTTTAATATAATTAAAATTTAAAAATTGTTAATAAACTTTTAATTATATTTAATTTATTAAAATTATAAAAAATAAAATATCTTTATAATAATATTATATATTTTTAAGAAATAAATTTAAAGATTTAATTATATAAAATTAAAATAAATTTATTAAGAGTATATTTATAAAAAAATGTATATAATAAAAATATATTTTTATTTATAATAAATAAAAAATATAAAAATAAAATTTAATTTAATTTAAAAATAATTAAAAAAAAATATTAAATAAATAAAAATTTTATTAAATTTAATAAATTTAAATTATTGTTTAATATTTTATTTAATTAAATTTAAAGGTAAAGTAACTATTTGAATCTAAATAATAAAATTAAAAAAAATTAAGTAAAATAATAATCAAAATTTATTTAAAATTAAAATTTTCTATATATATATTATTAGTTTATTAGATTAATTATTAAAAAATTATTTCTTAATTTAAGAAATCTGTATTTTAAATCATTAATTAATTAACTAAAAATTTTTTAAAAAAAAGTATATATTATTATTTAAAAATAAAAAATTAATTTTATTTAATTTTAATAATTTAAAGTTTTAGATATTTTAAATAATATATTAATTATAATAATAAATAAAGTAAGAATTTAAATAGTATACCTATATATTTAATATATTCTTAGATATATAATTATAATAAAATATTTGTTATATTATATCACATTTCTCAAATTTTGATTTACTTTTTATTCAGAAAACAGTTTTTTTTGGAAGTTGTAAAATCTTATTTATCATATATATATTTATTTGTTATAATTAAAATTAGTTAAAATTAATTAGAATTAGATGTTAGTAAATTATTGATCAAATGTTACATATATATCACGTTATATAAAAATACATTAAATACATAATATACCATTTAACTTTATTTTAAATAAAAATAAAAATAAAAATTTTAAATATAATAAATTAAAGTATTTAATAAATTTATTAAATTTTTAATATATTAAGTTTAATATTTATATTAAATTAATTAAATTAATAATAATAATAATTATATTTTAATAATTTATTAATTATATTTTTAATTTTTTTAGAAATAATTAAACTTTTAATGAATCAAATTAAATCAAATTATTAAAGATGATCTACATAATTACTTTTAAATTTCATAATAAGTAAATTTAATTACTATATATCATAAATTGTAACTTAATTACATTAATTTTAATTGTGATATCTATTTTTATTAAATATTTTAATTTTAAAATTCTTTATATTAAATTAAATAAAATTACAATTTATTTGTTAAAATATAAGTTTATAACTAGTGAATGGTTTCAAAAATCATTATTAATTCAAAGCATAAGTGTAATGAGACCAATTACATATTAAATTTTAAATAGACAGATCAATCAATACAAAATACAGACATATATAATTCTTTGCTTATTCTTCAAACTAAAAATAATACTTTTAAATTTTTAAAATAAATAAATTATTATTGTTAAAAATAATGATTTATAATTTTATAAGTATTAATTATAAAAAAATTTTACAATTCAATAAAAAATATATTAAATTTTTTATTTTAATAAATATTCATAAATTTTTCTTAAATTTTATAATATTTAAATTGTATTAAACAACTTTAATTAAAAAAAACAGTTATGTAATTTTAATATATTTTTTAAAAATAATAATAATTGATATTTCTTTATAAATAAAAATTATTTTAATTTTTTATTTCTATTTTTAATTAAATTATATATAATCTAATAATACAATTATTTAATTTCTTGTAATAAACTTTTTTTTTTTTATTAAATAATGATAATGATTTATTCTTTAATAACTTCTTCTTTAAATTGAATATTACAGTGATCAAATGCAATAGATTCTTCAGCATCTTTAATAAGTGAATTTGCACCATGATGATATAAATACCTAGCACAATCTAAATTTTCTGAAATACAAGCTAAAAGAAAAATAATTTAATTAATTGCATTATTTTTTTTTTTTATAATTAATAAATAAATAATAATGAATATTATTATAACCAACCATGATGTAAAGGCGTTTCCTTTTCAACATCAGACTAATACAAAGTAATACTTAATAAAATCCAAATAAAAAACTAAATCGGAATGTGTAATAAGTTATAACATACCAATATATTTACATCTGCTCCTCTTTCAATCAATAATTTTACAGCTTCTAAATGACCTTGATCACTTGCCCAATGTAATAGTGCTAATCCCTTAAAAATATTTAAAGGAAAAATAAGTAACCAAACCAAAAAGAAAAAGGTTTTTCATTAAATAAATTACCAACCTGATCATCTTTGGCATTTATATCTACTTTATCTGAGTCTAAAATTTTACTTAACTCTGCAATATTACCTTTCTTTGTATATGAAAAAATATCATCTCTAAATTTTTTAAAAAAAAATTATTACAAATTTTTTTTTAAAAAAAAAATTCTTTCTATAAGATTTCTAATAAAACTAACTCTTTATTATTATCTTCCTCTTCCATTTCATAGCACATTGTAGAAACATAAGTCATTCTTTCTTGTTCTGTACTTAAGTTACTCTTAATTTTTAAATAAATTAATATATGAATTCAAATAACTTTAGAAAAAACCATTTTTTATTTTTTAATTTACCTTGTCGTTATCGACATCCTCATAATCCATATAATCATCATCATCCAATCGATGCCTATTCCAACCAATGTTTGCTTGTTCTAGAGTTTCAATATATATTTGCATGGCAACTTCTGCAGGAGTATTTTCAACTTCTTTCCATGCATCCCATTTAGCTCTTCCTCTAAGGTCCCATAAAGATGGTTTTGCTGTATCGTTTTTGCCTACTGTTACAACTTTATAATGACCATAGAGCTGAAAGCGAGCAAGAAAAAAAAAAATAATTATTTTTTGTATAAATTTTATTACAAGAAACAATTTGTACGTTACTTGCTTTAAGTTTTGTTTCATTAGATAAATTAATTTCAGGATGATCATTAAGAAATGTATAAGCAGTAGTAAACTGTTCTATCAAAAGCAAATCAGTCATTTTGAAAAATAATGAAATATATGATTCGTTCATTCCTTAAAAAAAAACCATCCATAAAAAAAAAGCATTATTTCCCCGTGATACAATGACGTATAAGACGTTAATATTTTAATATTCAATTGTATAGAAGTTGTTTATATTCAAATATTCGAAAATCATTTTACTTCAATAAGAAAAAATTTTGAAAATATAATAGACAATTTTTGCCTAGACTCGGAGTTCAGACTTTTTTTATATTTATATTTCGAAATATCACATCTCTAAATTTAGTAATGATATGAAGATTTTTTTGTATGAATCATCTTTGTATTTCATAATGCAAGTATATTTGTACAATATATTCTCACCTTGGTTTTAATTAACGCATTTATTTAATTAATAAGATTAAAAAATGTAATATGTGTATGGTATAGAATCTAAATCATTTAATATTATACTATAAAAGGTTTTGCACAAAGTGACGAGATCGGATGCATTGCATATCACAATGTGATATTATCATAATTTTAAAAATTGAATCAATTTTTTTTTTTAAAAAAAAAAATTTTTTTCTCTCTCGTTTTATTTTTATCATTATTTTTTTTTTTTTTTTTCTTTTTATAAAAGTAATTTAAAATCTATTTTTTTTTGATATATTATTAATGGGATATATAATAATGGAAAAGCTTGATCCATTATCAGGTATTGTTTTCCTTTAAAAATAAATTGATAGCTATTTTTTTTTCTTAAAACAAATAAAAAACTTTATTTATTTTTTTGGTAGTTTAGTGGTTGTTGAGAGACTAAAATCATCAGATAAAAAGGATTTCAATCATCCAGATTATGAGTTAAATGAGATTCGGATATCAGCAGATGATTTTCTATTACAATATCCAAGGGGGGCTTATACGTCCGCTAGAACTGTTAAAAGACATTCTATTATGGATTTGCAAGGACATATTGATCGAACAGTAAATTCCATGCAATTAATAAAATTTATTCCAAAAAATGAAAATTCTTCAGAAGCGAATCATGATGATAATGAAGTAGAGCCGCCGCACATTACCCAAGAATTAATCCCATATAGAGATCCGGATACCTTTAAAAAAATGATTTTACCTTTATTGAGAATAGGTTTATTAAGGTATTATGAAATTGAGGAATCATCATCTTGGCATATTAAAGGTAAAGGTGAAGCCAAAGTCACTTTTCTTATTTGTTATTCGTTTGAGGTAATTATGAAACATTTTCTTTTTGATTCAAAAGTTTTATGAAATGGATTAATGACAATTAATAAATTTTTAATAAAGAAAAATAGGCCTATGTTAACTTTACATTTTACACCCTTACACGCTCCAAGTACACCTAAATGCAAAGTAAGTTTCATCAAACTTATTTTTAATAGTAATAATATACTAATTGAATTCAATAAACAATTTAATTTATTTCATATAGGTTGAAATGTATGGAGAACCGAGGAAATCAGCCGAAGCAAAAGATTCAAAGTGGGTTCGGTATGTATAGATAGTCAACATGTCCCCACAATAACATAATAATTTATTTAAATATTTTATCTAAATATTATTATTTTTACAGTGAACGTAATGTATTAGAGTTGAGTAAGCATCCAGGATTTAATGAAATCTTACTTTCGGATTCTCATACACACAACGTTTACGAGGGTTTGAGTTCCAATTTTTTTGCAGTACTATATAATCCCGATAAAAGAGAACCTTTAGTTATAACTGCACCTTTACAATATGTTCTGGAAGGGACTATATTAAAAATAGTTAGAATGGTTTGTGAAAGAGATAAAATCGATTTACAATTTTGGTTTCCTAATGCTGATGATGCTGAACATTGGGAAGGCGCTTTTATAACAAGTACGGTATTTGATAATGATTTAATTCAAAAAAAAAAGTGATTTCTTTTGACTTTGAATTTATCTTCTTTAGGCACATCTCGATTAGTTTTGCCAATTGAATTGATCAAGTTTCGTGATGGAAGGTTGGCATAATTACTGTGATCCTATTTACACAAAAGTTAACTTTCTTCGAATGTCTCATTACTAAAATAAATTTCTTCGTAATTTAGGCCAACGTTGAAATTACCTCCACATAACGATACGATTGAACATATAAAAAATGAAGTTGAAAAAGAAATTACTCATAGAGCATATCGTGTTTTATGGTAAAAGTTAGTTTTAATTACAATAATTTAATTTATTCTTAAAATATAATAATAATTCATAGCAATTTTTAAAATAAATTTTAATATAAAAAAAAAAAAAAAAAGTTTTCAAACCTTCACACCTCTTAAATATCTTGATCACCAAAATATTTTTTTGCATCTATATAACTTTGTAACCCACCAACATCAATTCTACCTTGAACTTTTTCAGCAAAAAATTCAAATTTTTTATTATTTATAACCCAAGACAAAAATTTCCCTGTAGCATCACGATCTTCAATAGTATGATTTGGGTTGTTTTTTGATTCCTTTAAAAATTCTTGTAATAATTCTAAAGAATTTTTATGAAGAAAATAAAAACAAGGACAAGCATATCTAAAAGTTGTAGATTGTGAAGAAGGTTTTTCCAAGAAACTAATTACTTTATTATTTTCATCCAATTCTAAGATACCAAATTTATGTACAACTTTTTCATCAACTTGATATGTTGTAACTAAACATGCTTCATCATCATTCGAATTGATTGAAATAAATTTTTCATATAATTTATTGAAATTAAAATCTTTTAAAAATAATGTATCACCTCCTATTATTAATAAATTCGAATTTACAAAATATGAAGAAAATTGTTTAATAGCGAAAAGTACGTCTTCTACAGCACCTAATCTATTTTCATTTGACGTGCTACCATCATTAACGATATTTTTAGTAGGAATATTATGCGTTTTTGCCCATGAAATGAATGATGAATATGATGGTGAATTTGTTACGATATATAACGATGATGTAACATCCAAGTTGGACTCGATTAATATATCAAGCCAATGTGCTATTAAGGAATCTTTACCACCCAATGGTAAAAGAGCTTTAGGAACTCCTAGAAGATGTGAATATTTTTGTGAAGGATCATTAAGGATGTCTCGTTGAAGTCGAGTTCCATACCCTGCTCCAAGAATTAAAACTTTAAGCGACATTTTAAAGGTTGAGAACGTTTAATTTACTAGATAACTTGGATAACTTATAGCCAATGAAAACACGTGTTGCTAACAGAAACTTTTCTGATCAAAAATAATATAGTTTTTTTTTTTTTTTTTTTTTTTTTTTTTTTTTTGTCTTACAAAAATGACTTTAGAAAATGAATTAAATTGATTACAATCTTTTTTTTTTTTTTTTTTTGAATCATTACAATTTTCTAGAAAATGCATCCAATTGCCTTTTAACATCCCCACAATATATTCGAACAGCTTTATATTCAGATTTAATATTAAACTGATGTTTCTCATCATCATATGAAGAAGAATTCAACTCATCGTCACCACTTGTACTAATATTGTTTGGTTGCGAATTTTTAACAATTTCTTCATCCGATAACGAATCATCCTTTAACAACATCCACCTTGCTTTATTACATTTGGCCCTTTCATCTAATAACCAATTAACATATTCACTTTCTAATAACCTTTTATCAATAGAATTTATTAACTGGAAAGTAAGCAATAAATCATATCTTAGTATTGCTACTTTTTTACGTGCGAATGATATCTCATCTGACATACGATGATGTGAATGAAGTAGCCATGGATACGCTGGATGGGTGATCCTCGTATCCAGAAATTGCCGAAAACTAAAATAAGACATGATCGTTAGAAAATTTAATTATGATTAAATAAATACTTTCTTATTTTAACTACCTTATAGGATCAACTCCCTTTAGAACTTTAAAACTTGAGTTCAAGACTTGTTCTTCTAAATCACGAATATATACTGCAGGTGATGCAACATATGTTTTAAGCGGATGAACAGATTCCGTAACTATTGAAGTGTTTATAACATTGTATCCAACTCCAAACCATAAATAAACGTTACATATTAATGATAATGTTAAAACAATTCCAAGTGTTCCGCTAGATGAAAATTTGGTTACAATTCCAACAAAATTTGAAATCGACCCAGTAAGTAGTCTGATAGCATGTTCCATAATATTATGAATGAGTGAATTGGACACCCGGAATCCTTTTGGTTCTTTAGGTGAATTAGTCGAAACCTTGCTCGTTGATACTTCGGGTGATTGCGTTTCTTCGCTGCTTATTTTTGATCGTGATTTATGATGACGATATGAGTGAGGTCGGCGACGTAGTGGAGAAACTGGATGTAATCTTAACGGTGAACTTGGGACTAAAGGTTTACGTTGTGTAACTTCTGTCTTAATCAATGTCAATAAGTCTTCTACGGTATCTGCCAAACCGGACATTGCAGCTCTTCGAATTATAGACTTTACCATTGGTGATTTGAACCACTGAATGCCAATATAAACAGCTAGTTTGCAGCTTGTTTTCGAAACATAAGTTATACAATACTTGGACATTGGTAAAAATGCATCATTATACGGAAGTTGTAATGCTTTAGTATAGCTCAAAACGCTATAGCAACTAAATAACGTAAATGTAAATAAATTAACTATGTCAGAAAATTAAAAAACACGTTGAAAAAGGCAGCAGCAAATAACTTACAGGTAATCATCTCGTTTCATGCATATTTGTGTCTCTATACATTCACTCTCCTTCACTTTAGCTAATAGAATAAGGTATAAAATGGGTATTAATCGATACAATTTGAAAAAAAAATTTATCAATTCGAATTACTCACTCATAGAGTTATTAACGGGCATAATAAATTTGAATTCTCTTTTCCTTTCTCCATTACCACTATTGTCTATAACCCATGGTCCGCTATGTAACAATCTATTTCCTTTTTTTTTATGTAAACGAGACCATATTGTACTTTTCTCATCGAATATTATATCAAAAAGTTTTCTGGCTGAAATTGAGAATTCATGTTCAACTTCATTTTGTTCAAGATGATCCGAACAATCACATTTAACGGGACCTTTAGGTTGAAGAATATTGGATGGAAGATCATCATCTTGTATAATTTTCACAAATTTATAAAGTCAGTAAATGTCTACCAATTCTCAAATAAAAAAAAATCAAATTATACCTTCTGGTGGTGGAATTGTTATCATACTAGGTGTTCTTGGAGCATCGGTACTTTGCAAATTAAAAAAAAAAAAAATTAATTATAAAATAAAAATTCACAAATTATAAATTATATAGATCTAAGAAAAAATAAATACGTGTGTTTTTTTTCATTAACGGGAATCTTATCAGAGAGATGATTTTTATGATCGTCTGAATTTACATTTTGCTGGCTTACCACTTCGACTTTATCCGAGGGTTTTTCATTTATTTCCTGTGTTGGAGCCTCATCTTTTTGTTCCGTACTTTTTTCAGATACAATATCTTTCTTTTCTTCCTCTTTGGATTCACTTTTTAATTTCCATACAGCATTAAATACACTTTGCAAAGATACCGACTTAATGGTAAATAGATCATAAAAATCATTATAATTTATTCTTAATAGATTAAATAATAACAAATTTATTTTTAAATATAACAAAAACCTTCTCTCCGGTTGCAAGACTCCAAACTATGCGAGCCTTTTCATGAAACACGCCTTCAATATCTAAAAATGTTTTGATTGTATACTAATAAATAGGAATATATAAGTGAAAATTTTGAATCATAAAATTTAAATGATAAATAATAAAATCATTAAGATATTTACAACTTTACTATGATTCTCATCGACAAAATCTACTATCTGTCCTGTATCAGTTGTCTTATAATTAATAGACTTCACATCTCGCCAACTAACCCAGAACTATAATAAAAAATGGTGTTAGACCTATAACTAAAGAGATAGTAAAAGTGAATCATAATCATATTTTGGCATACCATATTTATTACGCTCATCACTATGGAATAAAAGTAAAGCTTATCTTGTGTAATATATGCACGTCCCTTAAATAGCATATCATCCATATACCACGCACAATTAAAAACTATAAAATAAGAAATAGTCAATTACTCATTAAATTCAAAAATATAATAATCAAAGATATTGGATTACTAACTATTCAATACGAATTCAACCTCAGTTGCGCAAGGAAACAATAAATGTAATTGAGCATTATGTAATAATAAATTCTGAGGGTATTCAGCAATAGAACTGTCGGCACCAGATCCAACAGGAACACTTCCACTACGTGACCTTCCACCCTTATTTTTTAACGATGATGATCTTTTACGCCCTGTGCCATCTTCATTAGCTTCATCGTCACCCTCCGATGCATTAACCGTATTTATTATTAAATTCATAGTAGGCATTGCCCACTGTAAAGTTCCCCAGAAATTTTGCTGATTTGCAGATGTTGAGGATTTCTCATTAGATGGTTGTGTTGATAAGGATGAAGCAATATTTCCGTTATTATTAATAACAGGTGCTAACGTAGCCGAAGATCCCTTTAGAGACGTACTATAGCCATAATTTGTACCTATTGAACTAGATGAATTAGAAGCTGGAGCTGCCCATTTTTTTGATAATGAATTTTGGGATGAAGGTGGAGAAGCTGCAGCTGAAGGAAGTGTAATTTTTGAATCTGCTATCGTTGTATTACCATCAACCTTGTAACCTTCCACAGAACCAGTTGTTGATGGTTTATTACTATCATGTCCTTCATCAGTAGATACGTTCTGCTCATCATCTAATTCTTTATGAGAAACTACGGCAGCTGCTGCGGAAGAAGAAAGGTCACTTGATGAACGAAAAGCGTGTCGTTTCGCATTCTCAAATACTGAAATCCAATCTTTTAAATCTGAATCTGTTTCTGCCTGCAGTAAATATGTGGTTCTTTTGATAAAATTCAGTTTTTTTTTTTTGTAAATAAAAGTTAAAAAGTTTTTAAAAATCCAAATTAGTTCTGACAAAACAATATTTATTACTTACTGTTTGGCACCACATACGATTTCAAAACAGAATCTTCTATCCTGGGATATGTCTGTCCGTACTTCACATAAAAGTACTCCGATTCTCTCACTTTCCTCGATAGTTGAACGAAGTTTACCATGTCCAACGGACGCCCACCAGAAAATTCCGTCTTTTAAATAAAAATACTTTCTAACCCAAGTATTTTTTCCGGTAGCACGCATAAATAAATAACCTTGTTTAGTAGGTGTTTCGTTTGGTAGGGATGCCGGCGAAGATGGACGTGTTGTTTGTTGAACATCAGAATTAGGATGAATTGTCATTAAATTCGCTCCATTATCGGTATATGTTGTTAGGGTACGACGCGGTTTACTTGAATTAATAGCTTCCTTTGATTGACAACATGTTAATTGAAATATCTGATACTTATTTTTGTAAATATTGCTTTATGAATTACCTCCTCTAATTTATTCCGTAAATCATGAAGTAGAGGAATTTGATTTTCACATGTCTTCTTGTTCTAAAAAGAAAAAAAAAAAAAAAAATTTATGTGTAAAAGTAAATTGAAAATTGAAAAAAAAAAAAAACCCAAATAAAAACAAAAGTCGCTTTACCTCCGATAACCAACTCCTTAATCTTTCCAAATGATTCCCCGATTCTTTATATACAATTAGGCTTGCCTCATGCATTTCTAAATGCGCAAAGGTTCCAGTCAAGAACTAAATTTAAAGAAATATCACACATCTATTCAACAAAAGGAATCAATCTAATACGAAAATAAATAAAATAACAACTTACTTGGTCCATTATTAGATGATCTATAGAAGCCCTAAATTGAACAATTTTAAGTGTATAATCTAAAGCAGATTTAATATATGTTTTCCGAACTTCATGTAATTGAAATGCATCCTAAGTAAAATAAAATAATTAATAATTCAAACGAAAACTAATAAATACACAAGAATTTTATTTTAATGCGCAAACCTCTCGTAACGCACTAGCTTCTTTATTTCTTGATTGTGACGAGTATTTCGCAAGCATACTATCATATCTTTCAACTGCTCGATCGTGGTTACGACGGATTTCCTATAACAATTGATTGTGAAATTGTTTAATTTCGAACGTATTCTAATAATGACGATCAAGATAAATACCTTGAATTCTTTTAACTCATTTTTTGTGAAGTGAGATATCGGATGTATTAACTTTTCATCAATATCATTTACCTTTAATAATTTAAGAAGGTATAATTAGTTAATTTCCCAATACCAAACAATTTCCTTTATTTTATTTACCAATTTTGATTTAAATGCGGAAGTTGTTTGTAATGTATCAGCAAAGATTCTAGCTGCAATCAGTGTAAAGTCACGATCTAATTGAAGCAAGGTAGAATTAAATTAATAAGCAAAATGATAAACATGTTACAAAAAAGAATTACTGAATTACCTAACAGTGAATCGTCACTTGGAACTTGCGTTGCTTTTCTCGTCAAGTTATTACTTGCTTCATTGTATTCTTTATCAAATCAAATTTGATAATTAGTTCACAGTCTAGAAAATATTTTATTTACACCTGTCAATTTGACGAAAGAGAAACTTACTGACAGATTCTTCTGAATAATGTTTTAATGCTTTAAATAGAGTATCGAGCCATTTTTCAAAATGATCAACTTGTTCTTCAAATTTCCTTACATTTGCTCTGAAATTTGGAGTATCATGAATAGCTTCTTGAGGATTTAAGCTATTAAGAACAGATTCTGCCGGTAATGGAGGCGTGACAAGTATAGAAGACATTTTTTACGATTTTTTAGGATTGAGGGAATACGGATCAACAAGCAAATCGACGTATAAATATAAAATGCCACAAGATCACGATTAATTTTTCTATAACGAGTTTAGAAATGGGTAACCTGAACCTGAATGAGTCATGATGTCCCAAAATCAGAAACTTTATTCTCCCGATGGCAAAAGGTCTCATCATTGACAAAATATCAAAGAAGCTTACTATGATTAAAATTCCAAACAAAAATTTTGTTCGTTATCGCCTCGAGTTTTCCATCCAAAAAGATGATGAATGCGCGAAAATACAGAGAATTCACGTAAAAACAAAGTTTCACGTGATATTTATTCATTTGTTATTTGATTTTCAAACCCTGTGGGAAATGCACACTATATGATGGAAATTCACCAATCATGTGCACGCGCACATGATATATGCGCAGCTATGTGATGGATAATGATATCAAAGTTTAGAGGCAATGAGTTCATAAGCTGAAATATTCGATAACTTCATAAACTAGTATAATAGAAGATAACATTTTCTATCAATGCATTAACTTGTTCCACATGCCAAAAAAAGTCGGGACAGTTTATTTGTGTTTTTGTTTTTTTTTATTCATCCAAATTTGGGTACCCCCAGATACCAGTCAGTTAAATTACCGCAGCAATTTTGGAAAAAGATGTGAAAAAAGATTGGTTTTTAGATCAGATATAGTAATGTATAATTTAGATAAACTATTCCCTCATGGAACTGTTTTCGCACGAAGCGGATCAAATTTAAACCAATTAAAAACCTTCGAGATTTTTATTTACAAATTTTAAATTGGCTTTATGTTTCACAACATTTACTTGAAGAATTCATTATTTAATTGAAACTTTCCACCTCTCAAATGAGTCATTTGTTTATCCCTCTACTAACAAATAAAAAGAAATAATTTAAAAAAAAAACCACTCTTTTATATATTGTTGCTCTCATTGTAATCATTCTCTCTCTTCTAATTTAACGCTTTTTCCTTTTTTATTTTTATTTAACTTTTTCCTAGTCACAATTTTCAATCCTGTTTTTTCATATATTAATATATCAAAAAAATTTAATTTAAGAAAAAAAAAATTTTTTACTTCCTATAAACTATATTTTATACATTTCAAAATGCACGACCAAATGATACTATCTTTAATAGCTAGAATAGGTTTAAAGGTTGGTATACTTTAATTATTGCAAATTTTTTAATCTTGTTAAACACATTACTTTTTGAATTGAACAAATCCTTTCTTTTATATGTTAAAGTTACCATGTAAGAGCGGTAAAAAGCTAGATACTTTAGAAGCGGATAGTCTAGTACAACATATAGTAAATGCTATTGTTGATTTATCACGGTACAAACTTGCAACAATTGTACAGAATTTGTCAAAACTCTTGGAAGAAATTTCAGAGGTAAAAATGATTTAATTTAATTAAAGCTTTTAAACTTATTATAAATTTTAACTCTAGAATTATTTTCCTTTGATAGTCTACTCCATCTGAATTTGTGGATTCTCCACATTCAGAACACCTCCAATCACAATTACTCATCTTAAAAATTCTCTCTGCTTGCATGACTGCTCATTGGAAATATTATCGAGGAATGCAATTGGAAATATCATCATCGCAATCACCTATCACCGATGAATCATCAAAATTACCAAAATCGTGGGATGATCCACCAACTTTAGATGAAAAGTTAGCAAAATACATTCTAAAGGTTTTATCTCGCTTTCTTTATCTGATGGCTTCTCAAGAAGATAATAATCCCAATATTCAAGTTGGACCAAGTGGTGGTAGGAGTGAAAACTCTATTCATAATATAAATTCTCAGGCTGCTTGGTCTCCGGCGATATACGACCTAGTTAGTGATATATTTAAAAACGCCGGACGCGTAATATTCTATATCTCTGCATCGAACTGGGAGGTGGTTTTTGCAAGGATTAGGGCTCGAATTGCATTTTTATCTGCTACTGATGATGAGTGGCCCGACACATCAGAATTAAAAGTACTAGAATGTTCGGATTTAAATTCGACAAGATTGTCTATGATATTACAAGGTCAGCAATATGAAATCCTAATTTTAAAGATTTTTAAAAATAATTTCTCCCTATCTTACATATGTTATTATTATTATTATTTTAGAGCTTTGCAATTCTTTTAAGCATTTAAAAAAGAATGCTCAGATAGCAATGGCGGTTGTACTTCGCAAAGCCATATGGAATTGGATAGAAGTCTTTCCCGCGGAATTTGTTAAATTATGTCAATCACAAGCAAGCATGGATGGCGCATCCAGCCTATTTGATATTATTGCTAAAAAAGATAGGAGTTTATTTTGGCCTGTTCAAACTATGTTGTTGATCCTTTGTCCTGATAAGTTAATGAGTGCCATTAAATCAGACAAATCTGCCAAACAAACCATTCTTAAAGTAAGTCAACTTTTTTCTGTTAAAAAAAAAAAAAAAATTATGACCTAATCACCCAAAATTTTTTAGATACAATTTTTTGATACTCTCAAAAGATCTTTAAGGAATAAAAATGCAGAAGTTGCTGCAGTATGTTATGTAGATATATTCAAAGCTTCCACCTATGTAAAAAACGAAGCATCTGCACTTCGCTTGATAGTACCGGATATAGAAAATGAGTTAAAAGTTAGTTTATTTTCGTTTTTTGTGTGAATATGCCTTAATTGTTTTTGAAAGACAATAGTGCCAATTACGGAACTCGTAACTTCGTATATTAAAATTTTTTTTCATTTAAATTATTTAATTAGGAAACGCTTTTTGATCCAAATCGACCATTCCCCAATGAGCAAAATGTTGATCAAAAGCTTATGACCGATTGTCTTACGGCTTTATTTAGAATAAGCCCTGGAAACACTTTGCGCTCTTTAATTCCAACTTGCGTGCATGAAAATGTACCAAATGCTTTCAAGTTGGTTCTTGTTAAAAGTTGCTATTCTATCGCTTCAGAGGTAATGTTCTTTTCCCTTTTTTTTTTTCTTTCCCGAAAAAAATAATTCATAAATTTTTAAAAAATTTTCTTAGGAATCTCGATTCCCCTGGAGCCCCAAAATTAAGTCGATGTATCCATTTTTGGCAGATCCACTTCGTAAATTATTCCTGGATCTCATTAATGCTCGAACTATGCCTTCAGATACTAAAAAGCCCCAGAAGAAGATTTATGAAGATTATCAAGAGAGATCCGAAATTATTTTAAACATATTAAAATTATATCGGAATGAACCATATCTGGCGATTGTGGTGAGTATATTAATTATATATTTTATTTTATGATTTTATTTCTTAACAATTTTCGTTTAAAGCAGGAAAAGTATGGGCAAGCAATCGACAATCAATCTATTATACTCGGGATCATGAAGTGTCTAAATGATACCAATGATTCCATTAAGACTACCGCAATTGAGACTTTATTAGAACTTCACACCGTTGATCTTATAAATTTATGGGGGCCTGAAGAAAATAAAATGCACAATTTTTGGTCTATAAGGTATTAATTATACAATACAATTTTTTTTTTTTTAAATATATATATATATATTGCTTTGATCTTGATTTAAATTAAGTATTTTTTTTCTTTTTTTTGTTTTATTTAAAAAGTTCTAAAATAACGTGTGCCGTCGCAAAGCAAATTATAGGAATGCATAAATATGATGCAATCAAATTAGAACTTTTGTACCAACTTTTAATGCGACGTAATGAATTTCTTAGTACAGCTCACAAAGTAACTCTAAATTTGTTATTTTTTCATATATGCATTAAAATTCCGTGCTTTCTTTTATTTTAACACCAACTTTATTGTTTAGGCCGAGCTAATTACTCCAATAAATGTTCCAGAACGATTAACTTCAAATATACAACTTGAGATTGCTTTGCTGGTCTCTTTATGTTCTTCTGAAATAGAAATATGTTCTTTGTCAATTAACTGTTTTTCTGAGTTATGTCGAGAAGCAAGAATTACAACCGAAAATTTTGCAATTGATGAGGATGAACCACAAGAATTGCCAATATCTCCTCAAATCACAATTGTTGATAATTGGAATGTATATACAGAATTATCAGTTTCCCCATATATAGTTCCTGGTCGGATGTCACAACAAAGGCGCATTCGTAAATTATTACGCCTGATGACTCGTCCTACAGCTGGCAATTTTGGTGCATGGGAAGAAGCATGGAACAGATGGAAAGATCTTACAGAGATAATTGCAAAGCCATCTGAAGAGTCAATTCCATTAAGTCCAATACCACTAAAAAAAGGTATAATTGGACTGTTCCCCGGTCCAAAAGGGAGTCCACCCGTTGCCCCGGTTCCTGATATTAGTGAGTCGCAATCTGTAGAATGGCATAATTATACAGGATTTCTTGCCGCATTAGGTGGTTGTTGTGTTATTGAAAAGACAAATTCAAGATATGGGCGAACTTTAGGGATTTCTAATCAAAGAATTTCTATTCCTTCCAGTGACTGTATGGCAAAGGTCGAAAGATTTGTTCAAGAGATGGTTTCCTTACTGGTTAGCGGTACAATTTTTGTTCGAGAGACTGTGAAAGATACTCTTGGAAATGAATTGAGTCCGAGGTTATACGTTATTCTTTTCAGTCATTTAGAGTCAATCGTTTCTCGCTTCTTTGATAAAGATGGAGAAGCCACTCCTAATGAGAGATTCACGCTCTTTATAGAGCAAGCAATATCAGTCTTAAAACTGATATTAGAACGAATTTACGATGTCTCTGACAATTTATATTCGTGTGATCTTGGTGGACTAGTTCTTTCATTTGCTCGTTACCTAAATAGGTTAAGCACGAGTAACACTTCTCTTCGTATAAAAAAGAAAATGTGTCAACTTGCGGAACTTTTGATGTTGAAGAAAGAATATGTTAACCTTCGTCAGGAGATTAAGTTGCGCAACAAATTAATAGAAATAATTATGGAGTGGACTTCTGATTCTTCAATGAAGTCCGATAATTCAAATTATGTAGAAAATAATACTACTCTTAATAATAAAAGTGAAAGAAGCGAAAAATTGCACAGAGATTTGGATCAAGGGTGCTTAAAAACAATTGTAGCTCTTTTGCAACAGTTGCCATTACAACCATCTGAAACCCCTCACGAATCAGAAATCAGTTCGATCAAGTCGAAAATGTTTTATAAATACTTTTCGTTCTTTATCAAGCTGTTGAACAGATGTAGAATTTTAGAGGTTTTGTATCTTAATTTGTTTAATTGATTATATTACACTTATTCAAAAAATTATCAATTTTTCCGAATTTCTCAACTTTTTTTTATTTTATAAAGGCAATTGATAGTGGAACACATTCGGCTAAAAATAACCAAGATCTACAAATGTTGTTATCAAAGGTGTCTATTTCAACTTTAGTGAATTAATCCGGTTGTTTTTAAATAAATGATTATGATTTTTATTCTAAAACTAAAATTTATTATTTATTATGAATATAGTCCAAGGAATACGTCAAAGATTTAGGACCTTTGAAAGAGTATACTATTTTAGCACTAAGTAATCTTTTGAGCGCAAATGTGGATTCGGGTCTTAAATTTTCACTCTCCATGGGATACCATGAAGATTCAAAAACCAGGACTGCTTTCATGCAAGTTCTTACCAACATTCTTAATCAAGGGACTGAATTTGAGGGATTGGATGAGAATGCTATGAAAGAAAGATACAATAGATTGGTTGAGGTTGTTACAAATTCAGACCTTGATATTGCACTCTCTCTGTGTGAAGTTTGTCACGTTTCTGAACAAGACGAATCAACTAAAGTCTTGATATCAGTATTCGATTCACAAAATAAGTTGTATCCTTTCTTCAAAGTTCTGTTTGAAAATGAAGTTAATCAAACAGGTAAATTATATGATAAATGAAAAATATGTGTCCCTTTTTTTTATTAAGAAACAAATATTAATGGTTTTGCTCTCACTAATTTGCGGTAGATAATAAAGTCGATCTATTTAGAAAGACTAATTCGGCAACAAGATTTTTAACATATTTTGCTAAAGCTCACGGAATTGAGTATTTACGTGAAACTCTTCAACCAGTTTTAAATGAACTTTTTGAAAAACCGCCTGAATACAGTTGTGAACTATATAAAGATAGACTAAGCCCAGAGGAAAATTTCGAAGACAATTTGAAAAATCTTCAAGAGCTTGCGGAAGCTTTTATAAACGCGATTTGCGGTTCTAGTGAAAAAGTTCCCAGGTACGACATTTTGTTTTTTATTTTCTAGAACGATTATGCAGATATTCAAAATACTATTATATTATTAGATCCTTCCGTTATATATGTCATCACCTTGCAAAGGCTGTCGAAGTAAAGTTCCCAGAATTAAAGCATAGAATAGTTGGGTCCTTTATATTTTTAAGATTCTTTAACCCAACTTTAGTTGCTCCGGATAATAAAAACCTTTGTAAGCCCATTGAAAATATGAATATTAAAAGAGCCCTTTTGTTGGTTACCAAGATCATTCAAAACCTTGCGAACGATGTAAGATTTGTGGCACCATCTATGATGATTATGAATAATTTTTTAGAAAAGCACGCTAAAACAATGAAAGATTTCTTAGAAGAAATTTCTGTATGTTACATTGTTTTATTTTGAATCAAATTTTATTTTTTCCTGAGAATTCGGGAATTAAATCTATTAAATTTTTTTTAAACTTTAATAGCAATTGCCATATTCGACACCAACAACTGAATTAAAAGCTTCGGATATTACTCCATGCAGATTAGACGAAAATGACAAAAAATCTTTGCATAAGCTTTTGCATAATAATCAAGAAAAGATGGCGAGAGAATTATCAGCACGAAGAGTTAAATATAGTTTTTTAGGAATTTCAATGGATTCCGAACAAGCTCAGACTAATAAAACGGCATGGGAAAAACTTGGGACCTTACTAGCTCAATTAGGTCCACCAGCAGAGCAACCAAGGAAAGAGACCATTTATGTTCACACACCTTATTATGACACAACAAATCATTTTTTTGGTGAATTCATGAGAAGGAATAAAGGTCGTAATTTGGATTCGATCGCAGAAAAGAGAATATTTTACGAAAGTGGTGTCTCAAGGGTAAATTTCATTATTAATTTGATCGTTAAGTGATTTTATGTAGTAATGATTAAATTTTGAAATTAAACTTTTTTTTTAGGAAAGGCGCCCTGTATTTTATTATATCGCGCGAAGGTTAGAAGCCGAAGCGACAGATATTGAACTTTTAATGTATCATGTGCTAAACGTAAGTTCTTTCTTTTCGTATAATTTTAAATTCAAAGTAACATTTAACGTTAATCGATTATTAATTTATTTTATTATCAAAAATTTACATAATAGACAATAGAATTTAGAATGGGACAACCATTTGAAGTGGTCGTTGATTTAACCCAATTTGGTTCTAACAACGAAGTTCAATCTCAATGGGTTCAACAATTCATCCAAATCCATCCGTTCGACATTCAAGAAAATCTTGCGAAATTGTATTTTTATAATACCAATACCACCTTCAAGAAATTTGTAAAGAAATTATCTCGTCCCTTATCCCCTAAAATCGCCAAGAAAACCTTATTTTGTTGTAACCTAACCGAACTTCATGAATACATTGCTCCAGGAGAAATTGGTTTACCTAGGTCTACAAGTAAGAATAGGTTAATTTATGAGTATTATAAACATAAAATCTTCAAATTTTAAATTTTTAATTATAATTATAGCAATATTGGACACTGATAACAATGGTATTATTCACACACCTGTAACTAAAATTTCGCATTATAGAATGCATATTCCTGTCACAATAAAAATAAGTAGCGAATTTATCCAAATCCTAACGGTAAGTCCTAAGAAGTTTTTTTTTTTTTCTTTTTCCAAAGTTAACATGATCACACATTCGAATTGATTTTCGATTAATATAGCTAAGAAGACAAGATTTGTTCTATGGACTGAGTTGTCAATTAAATGATGTTTATCATATATCGGATATCGAAGACATAACTAACTCCACTCATAGGAATGATGATAACGAATTTATCATCAAGCAAGATCGTGGGAGACCTACATACATTTTTACGAGTCCAAAGCGAGATGCTATTATGCATGCAATAAGGTCATCAAAGGTAATTTAATAAATTTTATGAAGCATTGATATTATCATTATATAATAAAAATAAATTTAAACAAGCTTGTACGTTAAAGGCGCGGTATCAAATAGCAAAACCAGTTAGCGTAACAGCAAGAACTATAAGTCCAAGTGGTGTGCCCGGTACTCTGTTAAATATGTCCCTTTTAAACATTGGAAGTGATGATCCAAATTTGAGACTGGCGGCTTATAATTTATTAGTAGCTTTAAGTCTTAATTTTAATTTTGATGTTGGAAAACAGCTCCTAAATGCTAAAGGTAAATCAAATTTAAGATTTATTTTTATCAACATTATAATAACTAAAAAAAAAAAAAATATCTTACTAAATTTCAGGCCTGTGTATACCCGCGAATAATAGTACATTTATCGAACAATTGAGTGGAAGACTAGCCGTTTCTGAGACTGGTCTGACACTAGAATTTCTGTCGGAATTCTTTGTTGGATTTTATAAATCCAATACATCACAGAAACATTTATGCCTCCAATACATGGCACCATGGCTTTTGAATTTAGCTCTATATTATAGAAATGGTTCTGAGCACCAACCGCATCTTAAGAAGACGCGGGATATTATTAAAAACTTGATTTACATGACAACTAAAGAGCCGGAGGTAATTTAGTTTAAATATTAAATAGATTAACTTTATAATATAATTTGTTTACGTGATTTTTTTTTTTTTTTTTTTATGATTTTCAGTTGTACACCGCAATACTATCAAGGGTGTGGTCTACCCTTAAAGGAGTTGATGAGATAACAAATTTGATAATTGATGAATTCGTGGAATATTCTGTGCGTAACGGCATCAGTTCGCCTTCGTCCGAAATAATTGCAAACACGATTGTAACACTTTCTTCTGTAAATTTTCGCGGTAAAATCATTGCAAGGCTTCGTAAGGTAATTATTTATAATTTTTATCACTGAATTTTGTTACGAATCTTATTTATATCCATTTTTTTTTTTTGGTTGATTTAGGTTATTGCACTAACTTCATCGAACCCAACAAGAACTCTCACAGAAAATGTAGCGTGGCCGGAAATTGCAGTCTTAATAAGATTCAATCTTATGCTCTCGTTTAACAACCGAGTGCATATCCAACTTTACCTGCCTGAATTATTCCATATAATAACAACACTCATTGCAACTGGTCCACCATTTATCAGAGCTTCAGTTCATGGGTTAATAGTGAATTTGATTCAAAGTCTTTGTACTGCACAACCCCTTGACCCATCAAATTTGAACCGGTTAAATCTATTATTAACGGAATTATCAGAACCAAATTTCAAATTGTTTTTTGGATTAAATAATGTACCGGAGAACGCTTTTGAAATAACGGGAGATTCCGTTGCTAACTTACCAGATGATATGCCGCTCAGCTCTTTGGAAACTATCGTTCAGGCTCTTTTGGAAGTCATGATTTGTGGTGCTCCTTCTGTTGGTTTGTATAATTTACATTTGATTTATGTATGTTTTTTTTTTCATGTGGATCTAATTTTTACTTGAATCCTTGAATAGATGTGTCAAATACATGGAGAGCTCGTTGGATGGGACTTGTCGCAAGTACAGCATTTCAACATAATCCAGCAATACAACCAAGAGCGTTTGTTGCGTTAGGTTGTTTGGCATGCGAAGAAGTTGACGATGATCTTCTATATCAAATATTAGTGGCATTAGGAGGAGCATTAGATAATTTTTCTGAAAATGATTGCTCCTTAATTCAAAGTATAATAATGTGTTTAACGAATATAGTTGAAAAATTATCAAGAGAATCACAATACCTTCGATCAATGTTTTGGTTAACTATGGCACTTATTCAGATTGGTCACATTCCAATATTTCAAAGCGCTGTTAATCTACTACAAGTGGTATTGAGAGCTTTGGAAGCTCAAAACTTCTTTGTAGAAAATGATCTTGTAACATTCTTATTAAGTTCAAGAAGACCTTTAGAAAAAGTAACAATGGAGATGGATATAGAAGCAGGAATTAATTATTCGCATTTTTCATTTGCCGTTGCTGCAGTTTTATTAAAAGGATTAAAAAACCCTTTAACAAAGACTTCAACTCAGGCAGCCTTACTCGTATTTTTAGATATAGCAGCAAAAGGTGTTAATCCTAAAAATAATATAATTAGTTCAAGTATGCTAGGATATTTAGCAGCCCTATTACCAATGTCAGCAAAAGATGCTGATATGAAAGGATTACTTGGACTAGTTGGAATATCGGACATTGATGTTGATGACACAGAGCTACAAACATATTTTAAGATATTTGAAAAACTTGAGATTCCGGATAATCGAACCGCTTTGCTTTTAATCTCTTTAATGGTTACAATGTTACATCATGCTGAAAGTGAAGCTGAAAGTCTATTCTTGTATGGATTTTTGTCAGAAGCGGCGAAAATTGTTCCGGAATCATTCGCCTTAATGTATGTTACTTGTAATTTATAAAATTGTGCTTTATAAAAAACTTTGACAAAATATATTAATTCCTTCCCTTTTATACAGTTATGATACTCTACTGCCAAAAATGAGCCACATTGTGTCGACCAGTGACACGATATCAATATTGGATGCAATACATTCAATACTTTACACCGTTGTGTCCGAACCTCTTTACAAAAGGTCAAATGATAATCAATACTCTTATTTATCAGAAATTGGATTTAATCATTTAATGGATTGTGGATCCTTTCAAAATGTAACAAGTGAGAAAAAGGCCATTAATGCTGGATTATCTAGTAAATTGGTTCAATGTATTATTAATTATTAAAACAATATTGTTTAAAATTGTTTAAAATCTACCTAATTTTAATTTAGTGAAAAAAAAAAAAAAAAAGTTTAAATAATGTTGAGAGATTAATTTTATTTTATTGAGAAACAAATAAATATTTATGTATAAAAAATTATTTTCTTTAACAATGATCTAACGTTACCTTGTAATATTGACGAATGAAAATCGATCGCATCTGATGTCATAGGCAGACTCCCCTCATAAATTCAAATAATAATTGCAGATCATGGGACATATCCTGTGACCGATATTACGAAAAAAAATCAAATGACATCATTTTTTACGCGTAATTTTTGGAAAAATTTAGATGACATCATTTTTTTTATGGAGATGATATCATTTTTTATTTAGATAAATAAACGATTTCCAACCATCACATCATTTTATTTTTCTTCTCACAATTTTATATAAACAAATCAAAAACGAAAAATTTCTTTGCTATTATTTGAAAGTTATTATCAAAAAGAGCTTGATTTTGGTATTGGTTCGGTTTTCAGTCTGACTTTATACTCGATATACCATTGTCTTTCGGTGACATTAAAGACAAGTAGAAAACTTTGTTCTTTACGTTCAATATTTGGAAGTTTTTCTGATTGTTAATAGGACTACCGTTCTGAAGGATGAATGGTTATGTATCTTCCTTATAACAAGTGGTTAAATTAATATTTAAAGTATGCAACCACAATTTCTAATGTAAGGTTCAACTTTAGATATGTTGGATATAATACACATTTTAAATGCTAACAATTATCTAGTGACTATTGTCAAATGTATCATGATTATTAGAAATACTAGCTAGAAAAAAAAATAGGGAAGACTTGCGTGATTTCTATGATTGCATTCGACATATTCCACTAGTAGATTTGTTACATTTGTTGTCTGCTTGTTTAGATTCAGTCTAATTTTTTTTTATAATAAACAGATATGGATATGGATCAACATATTGCAAAGTACTTGGTGAATCACCGTTATACAAATTGGAATATTTCAGGACTCCTACAAGATTTATCTGGAAAAATTGACTTCACAAATGTTGATGCTACAAATATTCTTAATGCCTTTCGATAACACTTAAAAAAATATATTTAATAGCCGAAATGTCTTTAAGCGTGCGCGAACTAAGCCAGTAAATTAATACAAACCTTGGATTTAGATGAATTAACACAACTTTTAGAAGGATTGCAGGTTAGCTTTCAAAGTTTACTTAATATTGTTTTTTGCCAAATTCAATTTAATTAGTTTTAGAGTATTTTACAATTAGTTTTAATAAATCTTAAGTTAATTAGTTTATTATTTACTCATAATTAAAGAAGACATTGCAATTAGTTGCAACCATGTGATGCTTATTTATTACCAGTTGTAACTAGTTACAACATCATCTTTACTCATAATTTTGTAAGTTCATGAATAAGAGCTTATTAAGATTATTGAATGATAATAATCCCAATTTCTCTAGTTAATAAAATCAATCTTTTATTTTATAATTTTATTTAGTTAAACTTGTAATATAAAACCTAATTCATCATTATTGCTCTCTCTTATAAATATATATATTGATTGTATTAATCTATATTAATATTTTAATTAACATAAATAAGATTCTGGATTTATTAATATAAATTGTTAATTTTCAGAAATCTAAAATTTTGCTATATACATTAAAGCATTAAAGTTTATTTTTCAGTTAATAAACTTTGCAATTGATTTATATAACAATATTATCAATAAAATTTTATAAATCATTGCATTTTTGCCTTTTATAACTATAAAATTATCAAAAAAAAAAAAAATAATTAAAATAAATTTCTAAATTAATCATAAAAGATCTAATTTTCTATTGATTTAAGTTTTTTTTCAATTATAGATTTTTTTATAAAATGATTTTCATTTACAATTTACTAATCTTTCATCATATTAAATAAGTTCATTAAAATTTAATAGTTAAGTAATCTATCATAAGAAAATTGCTAAATGAAAATCTAATATTATTTTTTGATTAACTAATTATATTGTTAAATTATTTTTAATACATAAATTATGTAAATATTGTAAGTAATTTCTTTTTTAAAAAATTAATATTTTTATATATTTTGATTCTTATATATATATTTTATTGAACTCTTAAATTATGCAACTTACAAAACTTTTTTAAATTTATACTAAATAAAGAAATATTGATTAAAATTATATAAATATTATGTAATCATTAATAAAATGAGTTTGTGTTTCTTAAAATATTATGCAAATGATCAATAATAATCTTAAACTAATAACTGATTATTTATTTTTTGCAAAAAAGGAATTTTTACGATTTTAAAAAATTTTTACATACATCTTTCATTTATAAATATTTATTCTAAATCTCTCCTATTTTTACACAAATTCTATCTTGCAATTAAATTATTGCAGATTTTTAAGTATAATATTTTTCAAAATAACTTACATAAACAAAAAAAAATCTTTTTTCTTTTGTTATTAAAGTTCAATTTAATATAAACATTTTAGAAATAAAAAAGTTTTCTAAAATAATTAAGAATAGTTCTAATTGAAGACTTTAATTACATAGAATAGATGCTGGCTTATAATGAGCTTTAAATATATATAACCTATACTATTAGAGAAATGTAATAATTTATTTGATTATACTTAGCTGACTGTAGCAATAACTAACCCTTTTGCTTCTTTATTCTTCATCAAAAAGATCAAAGTAAATTCAGATTTAAGAAGATTTTCAAGCAAAAATTATTAATTTTAAAAAATTAATTATCAACTTCCTTAAATCAACTGCTAAATTTTTCTTTAAGCAAAAGATTTGTTTCAAAAGAATCCAAAATAAGAGAATTATAGAAAATTTAATAAAGACTTCTAATTTATTTATTAAAAAGAAATAATAATTTAAAGATTTTAGAATGCTTTAAAAATATTTTAATTTTAATTAAAATCAACTTGTAGAGAATAGTAATCATTATCAATTTTCAGTATATTTTATATTTTATGAAGAGCAATCAAATTAAAGATTTTTTTTGAATATTAATAAAATTACTAAATATTTGACTTATATAAAAATTGTCTAATAAATGTAATAAAAATAAATGTTATGATTACATTTTATTATTATTTTAAGAACTATCAATTACACTATTGATACTTTTACTTTTACTTTTATTATTTTCTTTTAAATTAATAAATTAAAATAATAAATATTATCTCATTTACTGATATCATATTGTTTACTATATCATGTGAGACTTTTGCAATAGAAAAAAGAGAAATAGCTAGAAAAATAAAAAATGAATTAATGTTAATCTAAACATATTTTAACCTAAAAATCATATTTGGTATATAAATATAAACTTGATTTTTTCTAGCTGTTTCTTCCCTTTCTATTGCAAAAGTTTTATATGATCATTTTTTCAAAAAATTTATTTATTAAAAATAGGCTAAACTTTAATAATATCTTTTACAATACAGTAGCGGTCATAAGTATCCGACTGTCTAAGATCGTCCAAAATTATTATATAACTACTCTTTAAATTTTCCAGAAATATAATGTAACACAATATATGATCACCTGTAAATTTATAAGTGTTGATGATACAAAAAAAA